ACATTTAATTAATAACATGTAGTTAAAGTATTACTCTTTTGGTGAGTTATCTAAAAGAAAATACACTTTATTTCTAATCAATTAGTATTTGTACTTAAAATTAATTACATGTCTTTTCTTCGTTTTTTCTTAACCTTCGATACAAAACGGTATTAATAATCAGTTGCTATGGAAAGATATTTTCCTATTAAGACGTCTCCCAATTGATAAGTCACTGAAACACTAGTTTCGGCATTAATTCGTTAAATAAAGTGAAAACAATTTATAAATTATGAAATATTACATCAAATTCTGTATTTATATTTAAAATAGAAAATAGTTTCTATTGTCTATAGAGTTATTAAAAATAACATTTTAAATAAATAGTTATTAAAGTGTATCACAAATATTATAAATTCCGATACAAAATATGTTGAATTTTGACTTATATTGTAAATGAAGTACAAAATCATAAGCAATAAAAATATTAATTATAAAATAGTCAAAATGTGTGCGAATTAATAGCGAATTAACATTAAAATACATTTTGTTTATTATATAAATTAAATAATGTTTATAAATATTGTTAATGAGTTATCGTATAATTAAAAATACAATTAAAAAACTGCAAATATATTAAATACAATACAAATAACTTAAAGTTAAGTAAAAAGCAAATATTTTGTTCAATAAAACACTTGGATTTTGAGATAAACGACTGGATTATGAATAAAACTATTGTTTTCAAAGACAACTAATGAACTATTTTTTGACACTTTTGACAAAATACGCGAAAACAACGCATAAGAAAAGTGTCAATAAAAAGACCAAAAACTTGGATCTCGACGAAGACTTCTCGTACTTAACGTCTGTCTTCTCCTTCTGGTGGTCGGACTCGTCCCGTGTCTGGTCGTCGTCGCCATCGATGGCGTCTAACGGCGACTCTTCGTCACCCATGAGTCGATCCATCTCTTCCTCCAACAGTCGCTTCAATAGTCTTCTATACAACTCTCGGGTCGAGTCTTAGGACACAAATCAAAGATATCATTAAATGAGGTAATCATGGGATCAGACGCCGCGAGCCTTACCAACAATGGGTCCGATGTCCTGTCCTCTGGACTCCAGTTCGTACCGAAGACTGTTGTCGTCCATCTGATCCATAGATGGTTTCGGCCGATCAATGGATTAGTATTGAAAACGTGATCAATAAATACGGTATGAATTGAATGAACGGTTTGTTTGTTGACAACAAATACACTGTTTTTGTGTTGTGTTTGACATTCAATACAAAGCATTGCGTCAATCAATGCATTGCTTTCACTCCATAGAGGGCTCACTATTGCGAGCATTCAATGCATTCAATCATTGAATGCATGACTTTGAGCGCCAAATCTGATTACCCTTTGGACTCAACACTATTCCTCACCATTGGATCCGTTGTATGTATTTGTGGCCATCATTTGTCTTAATCTTAATTAAACGCATATAAGGATAGGTAATAATTGTAACTATAATTTAAGTAGATTTAGTAGTCTATATAAAATGCATTAATTGCAATGTTAGGGCCATTTGAAGTGAGACCAAATGACCCAGCAACAAAACACTCGTTTACATCTAGAACATTTTTATTATTGTAATTAGTTTTTAAGTATTAAATATACATTTTTATTATAAAATACAGAAAATGCCATAAAATATATATAAATTAGAAGACAATTTGTTTGAATTGAATACTCATTTTTTGGACACAAATTATTATTACATAAAAATAATGATTACAAACGGAAACCCGATTTTTGTTTCACGTTATGTTTAGGCATAAAAAGTCGATATATTTGTCCACTTATTTGTTGGTCACAATCCAGGGGTCAGTCATGAGCTGAGCGCTGGTAATCCTTAGAGTGATGTCGGGCTCAAGCATTTTGGCGATCAATTGCTTGAATGCCACCGAAAGGATGCCTTCGAGGGAGGTCTTGAAGCGCCAGTTGCGGGTCAGCTGTCTGTCCAACATCTTCGCGTCGTCGCCCAGTTTGAAGGGTAGGGTATCGCTCACTCCGATGAAGAAACACACGCCCAGACTCCAGATGTCACTGATTAAGGGGTCCAACGGCTGTCGTTGCAGTATCTCCGGCGAGAAGTAGGGCAACGAACCGCAGTATGTGGTGCTCTTGGGGTCGCCCTCATTATATTTGATGGCGTAACTGAAGTCAGACAGTTTGGGCACATAGTCGCGGGTAATCAGTATGTTCTCCAGCTTGAGGTCGCGGTGAGCGATGCGGTTGCTGTGCATGTAGTGTATGGCCTCCACAATCGGCACATACATAGTGTGGGCCAAGGGTTCGGTGAGCGCCCCCTTATCGCGCAGCCAATCGGCGAGTGTGCCGTACGGCGCCAACTCCATCACCATAAAGATCCGATTAGACGACTGATTGATTTGATACATTTTGATGATGTTCTTGTGCTTGCATTGGCTCATCGTTTTGATCTCATTCGGCAAAAACGCTTTCCTATAGTTTTTCTCCTCTTTGTCCGCTTTCTTTAAGTTAATCACTTTAACGGCGACCGACTTCTTGTCTTTCGACGCTTTATACACTTCGGCATAATTGCCGGAACCGATGCTCTCCTTCAATGTATAGCCCTCTGCGGCCAGATATCGGCGAACCGTTTCAAACTCCGGCGCCTTCGCGTCGATGAGACCCTTTTCGTTGTACTGGAAGTCCGCCTGAGATCGAGCGCGAGGGGCGAAGGCCTTGCGTTGAGAGTAAGCGCCGCCGTCTTTGGCCGGTTTGGGACTTTTTTGGATTTCGGCCTTAATCTTGTCGGGCGTCGGCTTCTTGTTATTTTTCTCTTCCTCCGCTTCGGTGCCGTCTTCTGTGATCCGCATCTGAAAGACCTTCTGCGCCGGCGATAACGGCTTTACATCGGTTCCATGGGTTCCCACAATTGGACCCTTTGTCGGCTTTTTTGGACTCTGTTTGTCCTTTTTGTCACCACTACTACCACAACAACAACAAAGAAAACTCCAAACGCATCCCATTTGAGATAATTAGTGGTCTTAACTGTCGATCAAATTCAATGTCAATAACAAGTCTTAAGAAGAATACAGTGAAGACAACAGTAAACAAAATCGTTACAGTATTTGTAAATTCAATTCAAAATAGATTTGTAACAATGATTTAAAATGTCGCGATTTAACAATGATTAAAATGATTATAGTTTAATTAAATTACAACTTTTACTGTCTCGCTTATTTGTCGAGCATTGTATGCAAACGTATTATTATATTGAATGTTATTGAGTACTGATTGGTAGTAGTGGTGGACAATCCTCACTAACAGAGGAATAGTTATCCATAGTATTCAATATGCAATCCAAATGAAAGACAACACTCGTTAAGGCACTGATCCGTACAGTATTACAGGTCTTATTAGAGAAGTGAATCCGCGGACATACATAATGATACAAATTGCATGCGTTAACAATGATTACGTTTTATTGGATTTAAATTATGTGTTGACTTAATTTGCAAACAGTTATGAAATACAAACACATATTTGAGAATAAGTTTTCTGTTTATGAAAATTAAATATCACTTCAATTTAAATATAACTTAAAAATTAAATACAATTCATTTATCTCTAACTCTTATAAAAGTATTCAAACATTTCACTGTTTTATCAATTCATATGAATTTAATTTTGATTATTTCAAGTATATTTGCAACAGTTTTATGTAAATTAGACAAAAATGACAAATTTAGATATTATCTAACATTATATACCACTTACAGGTCAGGGAACTGTTACTCCGCCACACATAGAAATCGGTAATTATCCGCTACTCAATAGCCCGACGTGTGGTTTACGTAAAGTGAATGGAGAAACACAATCACGAATAGTGGCCGGAGATATGGCAACAGTGGGTGAGTTCCCGTGGATGGCATCCATTCAATACGTGGGAAACAACGGCTCTCAACCCCCGGCTTTTATATGCGGCGGAGCTCTGATCGCCGATCAATGGGTTATAACCACTAAACACGGTTTTATAGAGTAATTAAAAAAACATTGTTTTCTATTCAAATCCTAACGCTTATTATTTGATTGGAAGAAATCGTCCGCCGATTACTCACGCCCACCAATTTGTTGTGTATTTGGGAGCCTTTCATATCAATGGAAGCACTCAAGAGATGAAGGAAACGGCAACCGATTTCTATTTATACCCCGACTATGATTTGGCTTTGATTCGTCTGTCCAGACATGTGGTGCCAGTCGTCCGATCGGGAGATTATTTGGTGAATAGTGTTTGTGTGCCGAAAGAAAAGCTACTAAACTCTGTGCCAGAGTTTGTGTGGATCTCGGGTTTTGGTTATATTGACACTGAGGGACGGGTTCCTACGCTAACCCTTAGGAAAGCAAACTTAGCCATCGATTCCTACACCGATTGTTTGTCGCGTAACTATGATATGCATTACATATGCGGCACTGAAACCGAGGTTATATTGACACTGAGGGACGGGTTCCTACGCTAACCCTTAGGAAAGCAAACTTAGCCATCGATTCCTACACCGATTGTTTGTCGCGTAACTATGATATGCATTACATATGCGGCACTGAAACCGCTAATCGCCCGTGTTATGTGAGTTGTGTCCACCCGTCTCATAGACTTTAATAATAACAGTAATTTTCTCAATTGTCTAATCATATAAAAGGGTGATTCGGGTTCACCTGTGGTTCAATTTGTGTCCGGAAAAGCTGTGTTAGTCGGTGTACACGCGGGTGGAAGAGCAGATGCCCTAGATCATAAGTGCGCTAGCGGCATTTTTTTTGGGCACCGCATCTCATTCTTCATCGATTGGCTCAAACACTTCATTGAACCACAAATGGCTGCGAGTATTGACAACATTCAGCCCAAGAAGAGTAATGGCTCTCAAAGTATTCAATTAGATTTGATTCTTATATTCAATCTAATCGTTATTTTCTCACTCAATTTGAAGTATTTTTAAAGTTTTTTGAATACTATTTAGTTTTGTAATTAAATAACTATTTAATATATTAAATTGTAATTAGAAATATTATAAATAAAACACAAAATATTCAAACAATTCTTAAAATAATTTTACTGAAAATATGTATCATTAAAATGAATTTCATAAATGAATTGTTATTAAAAAATTTTCATTAGTGTCAAAATGGTTGTTAATATAAAATCTTTACATTGTTGTCATTATGTCTGTATTTTTAATATATTCCCTGTTATTGTTGAATAGATTTCGGTATTTTTAAAAAATTTAATTGATTTTGTAAACATATTATCGGTTTTTGTGATAAATTCTTGTGTATATATTTTAAAAATTTTCCGATTATTATTTGCGCAAATGTGCATGGTAAACAATCTAGATTCTGGTTATTTTTGCGCAAATGTGCATGGTAAACAATCTAGATTCTGGTTATTTTTGCGCAAATTTGCATGGTAAACAATCTAGATTCTGGTTAT